GCTGCTGAATTTAGTTTGGCTGTGTATTGCTGACGATTTTTGAATCTCTGTTCATAACAAGTATTAATCTCTAGTTTCCTTTTCTTGTAACATCTTTGGCTTTGATATCAGGGTAATGCTGGCCTCATAGAATGAGTTAGGAAGTGTTCCCGCTCCAGTTGTTTGTTTGTTTAATACATATTTATTTATTTATTTTGGCTGTGTCAGGTCTTAGTTGCGGCACGTGAGATCTTCTTTGTGGCATGTTTAGTTGCGGCATGTGGACTCTTAGTTGTGACATGAGGACTTCTTAGTTGTGGCATGTGAACTCTTAGTTGCAGCATGCATGTGGGATCTAGTTCCCTGACCAGGGTCGAACCTGGGCCCTCTGCATTGGGAGCATGGAGCCTTACCCACTGGACCACCAGGGAAGTCCCTCCAGTTGTTAAACTTTGAAAAGGATTGGCATTATTCTTCCTTAGGTACTTGGTAGAATTTACTAGTGAACCCATCAGACTAGGGCTTTTCTTTGTTGGGAAATTTTTGATTATTGATCCAATTTCCTATTTAAGTTTTCTGTGCTTCATGATTTAATCTTGTTAGGTCTTGTGTATCTAGAAATTTGCCCATTTCATCTGGATTATTCAGTTTATTGGGGTGTAATTGTTCATAATACTCATAATTCTGTTTTTTTTTTCTGTTGAATTGAATGTTTCTGTCCTCATTTTCATTTCAGGTTTTAGTATTTTGAGTCCTTTCTTTTTTTCTTAGTCTCTGTTTTTTTCCTAGTCCATTCATTTGTCAATTTTATTGATCTGTTCAAAGAACCAACTTTTGGCTTCATCAGTTTTCTTACTATTTTTCTATTCTCTGTTTTGTTGCTTTAATAATTATTATTTCTACCCTTCTGCCAGCTTTGGGTTTAGTTTGTTTGATCCATTTATATTTGAAGTAATTACTGATTAGGAGTGACTTTGGTCATTTTGCTCTTTGGTTTCTATATGCTTTATAGCTTTTTTGTCCCTCATTTCCTACATACTGTTTTCTTTGTTCAACTGACTTTTTTTTTCTTTTTTTTGATGGTTTAAACATCTCTGGCATTTCCTTTTTTGTATATTCCATAGCTGTTTTCTTTGTGGTTACCATGGGGGTTATATTTAACATACTAAAGTTAAAACACTCTAATTTGAATTTCTACCAGGTTAATTTCAATTAAATACAAGAACTCTGTTCCTTTACATCTCTGTCCCCACCCCTTTTAATTGATGATGTTCCCAAATTACATCATTATACATTGTCTGCCCCAAAGCACAGAATAATAATTCTTTTTAATGTAGTCATCTCTTAAGTTATGTAGAAAACAAAATTTGGAGTTATAAACCAAAGTTATAATAACACTAGCTTTTAGATTAATAATTGTTTTTTAAAAGACATATTAGTTTCTTAAATCATGTAAAAAACAAAAAAGTGTAGTTACAGACCATTTAAAAAATATCTCTAGCTTTTGTAATTGCCCATGTATTTACCTTTATTGAGATTTTATTTCTTCATATGGCTTCTTGTTACTGTCTGGTGTTCCTTCATTTCACCCTGCAGGACTTCCTTGAGCATTTTTCATTGGGCAAGTTTAGTAGTAATGAATTTCCTCAGCTTTTCTTTATATGGAAATGTCTTGGCTTCATCCTCACTTTTGAAGCACATTTTTACTGGGTATAGGATTCTTGGTTGACAATTTTTTTCTTTTAACACTTTGAACATACCAGCCTACTGTCTTCTGGCTTCTAAAGTTTCTGATGAGAAATCTGCAGAAAATCTTATTGAGGATCCTTCGTATGTGATGATTTGCTTCTCTCTTGCTGCTTCTAAGATTCTTTGTCTTTGGCCTTTGAAAGTTTGATTATAATGTGTCTTACTGTGAGTCTTCTTGAGTTCATCTTGCTTGGAGTTCCTTGAGTTTCTTGGATGTTTATATTCATGTCTTTCATCAAATTTGGGAAGTTTGCAGCCATATTTTTCCAAATATTCTCTGCTACTTTAACTCTCTTCCTCTAAGACTCCTGCAGTGTGTATGTTGATCTGCTTAATGGTATCCCACAGGTTCCTTAGGCTCTGTTCCCTTGTTTTCAGTCTTTTTGATTGCTGTTCCTCTAACACAATTTCCATTGTCCTATCTGCAAGTTTGTTGATTCATTTGCCTTGAATCCCTCTAGGGAATTTTTATTTCAGTTATTGTACTTTTCAGCTCCAGAATTCTTTTGATTCCTTGTAGGTTTTTTACCTCTGTTGAGTTTTCTCTTTCGTTCTTTTTCTTGACTTTATCTACATTTTCCTTTAGTTCTTTGAATATCTTTAAGGTAGTTGTTTTGAAGTCTTGCTTGAGTAGAGCTGCTGTCAGTTCTTTTACAGGGACAGTGTCTTTTTTTTTAATTAATTAAATTTTATTTTATTTTTTGCTGCATTGGGTCTTTGTTGCTGTGTGCGGGCTTTCTCTAGTTGCGGCGAGTGGGAGCTATTCTTTGTTGCAGTGTGCGTGCTTCTCATTGTGGTGGCTTCTTGTTGTGGAGCACAGGCTCTAGGCTTGTGGGCTTCAGTAGTTGTAGCATGTGGGCTCAGTAGTTGTGGCTCGTGGGCTCTAGAGCGCAGGCTCAGTAGTTGTGGCACATGGACTTATTTGCTCCACAGCATGTGGGATCTTCCCGGACCAGGGATCGAACCAGTGTCCCCTGCATTGGCAGGTGGATTCTTAACCACTGCGCCACCAGGGAAGCCCCAGGGACTGTGTCCTTTGATTTTTCTTCTTTTTCCTTTTGAATGGACTATGCTTTCCTATTTTTTAATATGCTTTATGATTTGTTTTTGTTGTTGAAAACTGGACATTTGAAACTAATAATATGGCAACTCTGGAAATCAGGTTTTTTTCCTTTCCTGGGGTTTGATGCTTTTGTTATTGTTTTTTATTTTGGGTCTGTGTTGAGGATCAGCCTGCAGTATAAACTTTAAGGTCTTTTTAGGTCTCTTTTGAGCCTTTTCCTGAGCATGTGCAGTCACTTTGGAATTTCCTTTGTATATGCAGTTGTTTTGAATGTCATAGTCATTAATGTCTCCTAAAAGGGGAAAAAGAAAACAAGGGGCAGCCCTTTAAATCCCCTGGAAGTCACTTTAGCTGTGGGAGAGGGGCTTTGAACAGTTGGTGGGGTGGGAGTGCAACAACAGTGGCTGCTCACCTCTTTGTACCTGTTATCAGAAGCAGCAAGCAGTGATCAGAGCACGGATCCCTGATATTTGGAGGGCAGGGTCCATTTTCCCCACATGGGCTCTCACAAGCTAAGTGCAAGGGAGCTCTAGGAGCATGTGCTGGTGGCTGGGGGGTGGGTTGGGGCATGGACAGCTGTTATTGTGGTAAGAGCTGAAATTTATGGAATTAAACCACAATTTACTGTCCAGACTTTCTCTAGAAGTTGCAAGCATGGATATAAACGCCTTTGTTTACCTTTTTTTTCCCCTTATTTCTTAAAAATGCTTGTCCACTGTTATATTGCTTTGTGTGTTGCTTGTTAAGTCTGATGACAATCTAATTCTCTAATTTGTTTGATCTTTTTATGTGAAGACCCTGAAGATTTTTTCTTTATCTTTAAATTTAATCCTTATATTGTGCTATGTCTCAGACTTGATCTGGGTCAGTTTTCCCAGGTAGCTGGTGGATTATTTCAGTGTATTGATTTAGGTCTTTTTTTTATTTCTGGAAAGTTTTTCTTGGTAGTAGTTTTAAATATTAGTTCATTTCTTCCCCAGGAACTGCAAGTATATGTGTGTTGGATCTTCTTTATTTTTTTCTATATAAGCACTCAATCTTAGATTCCTTTTTACTTCTTCTTTCTTAAAATTTCATTCTCTTTATTTCTTGCATTTCTTCTCCTTACTAAATATTTATTCAACTCTACTCTTCCTTGGGTACTTTGTAACTTATTTGTTTGATATGATTTTGTCTTTTCCCTGAGTTTAATCATCCCTTGTTTCATCTTTCTGTTGAAGGTATTTTTTCACATCCTAACATGCTGCTTAAGAAGATTTAATTCAGTTTAAAGTGCTGTGTTACAATTTTCTTCTGATTTGTTGTTGGTTTATGGGAAGAATTTTTCTCAGCTGAAATGTGTAGATTTGCTTTTTAAAAATTTTTTTACAGTAGCTTTTTATGGAATTGGTTTGAATCTTTTTATTTATTGGCATTTAATTGACAGGGTTCCTAATTCAAAAGCACTTTTCTGTCGATTTAATGATGTGATGTTTCTTCAATGGGTGATGCGACTACTGGTCATGGTGGAGTGGAGAAGAGGTTGTTTTTCTTCTTTTCACTTTGTAGGATCCTGAATTTTACCCCTTTATTTTCTTCTTTTCTTCACCACCCAGGAATGCTGAAAACTGCGTAATATCTAGTTTTATCTACATTCTTTGTTGATTTGATGGTTTGGATCAGGAGGATACCATTATCCTCCAGACCCAAAGTCTATATATAGACTTTCTGAAATTATTACTTCAGTGGTAGCAAGGAAGAATTATATTAATATTAATTAATTAATTATATAACTGGTTAACTCCTTTTTCATCTTAGTTATTTTACGTGGTCTTTTCCCTGTCTTTTATTGTCTAATTCATTCTATATGAGTACTTAGAAGATGTGCATTCATGGTTATTTATTGGTTGTTTAAGAATTTCCATGCTAGCTAGTATTCAATTGCGGTCTCAACTATAATATAGTTGTAGGGAGATGGTATTTGAATCTGGCCCCACCACTTAACTAGTTTGTTACATTTAACAATGTACATCACCTCTCTGGACCCACCATGTAGAAATGAGGTTGAGAAGAACTTTTACCTACTAGAATTATGATTGAATGAGATCAAGATTGTAAAGCTCTTAAAACATTTAAGTGAAAATCTGTTGTTTCAAACACTGGACACGCTCTAAAAGCCTGTGCTTGAAGGTGAATGGTGAGACCTATTGGTAACATCCTTGTTTTCCAGGTTGCCGGAGGAGCCAATATGAGTCAGATTTCAGAAGCACTGAGCCGATACAGGAATAGGTCATGTTTTATGAAGGAAGCCCTCTACAGGCTCTTCGCAGAGACATTTTCAACACAAGTAGCCATGCCTGCTATTTTAAAGGTAACTGCACCTCAGAAATGTAGTTTTTATTACTACTTATTGTTTGGTTCAATTAAAGTTGTTCATCAGACACAATGAATATGGTTAACTTATATGCCTTATTCTATTGTGAGGCAAAGTGCCCTCACAGGTAGAGGAGAATGGTGTTAGGCTTAAACTGCTAGAACATCTCTTGTTTTGAGCATCTGAATCAATTTGAATCATTCAAATTTTTGAATTTGGTCTGAGCAGGGGATTCTAGAAGCATTGCACTATTTTGTCTAAAGCAGGACTTGATCTTTAAACATGAATTCACTTTGCCTAAACATTGTTTTACTTGTTTACTCTTTAAAATCTAAGATATGGTTTTCTGAAAGAAAACAACAGTATCCCCAATAAGAACGGAACAAAATAACAATAATTGAAGGTAACCAAGTCTACCGTTTAAAGTTATTTTGTGAATAAAGTAAAATTACCAGTATCAATTGGGCCAACTTTGCTTTGGTTTATGGAAGAATGAATTTATTTTAAATGTAATTGGAAGTCTTAAGTGGTTTGGGAAGGAAAACTGCAATTATTTAAAATTAAATGTAACAAAAATGAAGAGTCTTAAAGTCACCTTGTTTTTATCATTTGTAATTTTTTGTAGTTCCATAAAACTAGGACTATTTCTGTACCATGGGAGATTAGATTTATTCATAACTTAAAAATGGTACCGTATAAAGGAAAAAACTGTGGATCTTTGTTTCCCATCTGTAAGGAGGAGGTTGAATTAGATGTTCATCTAAAAGTCCTTTTCATATCTAAGACTGTGTGATTTTTTATTTTGAAAATCATGTTTATTTTACTTCATTCATACATGTTTATATTGTCGATGATGGCAATCCAGAGAAATCCTAAGAGCAGTTTAGCGATATAGAAAAAAGACATTTTCCATAGGAGAAGTGTATCCCAGGTCTGAGTTCATGTAGGTGTCAAAGTAAGGGGCTCTGGTCTCTTAACAGTTCATAAAATCATGGTTCATGCGTGTATCAGCAGACTGGTCTCTGAGGTGGGTAAGGATGATTATCCCTATTCGATAGACAAAGCAGACCACGTTGTCCCTGCATTTTAGAGCAGGTATGGTCTAAGCTTAGTATAACACCTTCATTTTACATTTGTTTCTAGGTCTTACGCAGTCTCTTTTCTAGTTGCCTTTCTAATGTTAGGGGTTTTTTTTGTTGTTTGTGGCTGCGTTGCATGGCTTGTGGGATCCCAGATCCCCGACCAGGGATTGAACCCGGTCACAGCAGTGAAAGCACCAAATCCTAACCACTGGGCCACCAGGGAACTCCCAAATATTAGGTTTTACCACTTTTCACATTATTTCAAATTCAGATTTCTTCCCCTTCTCTTGGTGGACTCATCCCATCTTTTTGTCCACTTTATGTTTTTTCTTATCACATTTCCCTTCCCTAGTAATTCCTCTCCATTCCACCCCTACCTCCATCTCCTATCCAGATCCCATCTGAGACCCTGCCTAAATGCGCTCTCTGAATGAAGTCTTTGACTTCCATACCAGAAATGATTGTTCCCTGCATAACCACCTTAGGCAGCACTTTATTTACACCTCTTTTTTGGTGCTTTTTTTGTTTCATGTTTTGACCTCCCTTACAATGTTATTTGTTAACATACCTTATTTCTTTCATAAGGCTTTATGCTCAGGAGTAGGGTATAAGTGATTGATGTTGTGTCCCCTGTAGTGCTTATCATAATGTCTTGGGTGGATTGAGGCTCAGTAAATGACTGTGAAGTCACAGATGATGAAACAGAGGTCCAGAGAAAGGAGGTGAGTTACCTAAAGTCACACAGCTAGTTAATGGCTACGTTTGGATTGAAAGGTATTGCTGGTGCCCTAAAAAATAAATGCCGAGGAAGGGGAAAATCTGTTACTTTTTGTCCCAATAAGCAAATATTTTTGACAACTAACACAAAAATAAGACTGTGTGAAGAATGCTAATGTTGTCACATGCCACTAAAAACAAGTTCATCTTCAGCTTGTGGCTATAGGAATGAGGAATCATCCATTGGATTTGCCAGTGCAGTTCACAGCCAGTGCTTGTGCCCTCAACTTAACACGCCAGGACCTGGCCAGGGGGATGCCTGTTCGTCTGTTGTCAGAGGTTACCTGTCTACTTTTCAGGGCTCTGAAAAATTTCCCCCATTACCAGCAGGTAATTTGGTTTGAATATCTGACTGCTTCTTACTTGAGGACAAATATATGAAAAATATTTTTTATTTAGTTCTGATTTTTCATCCTGAGAGAGAGAGAAAGAGGGAGGAAGGGAGGGAGAGAGAGAAATAGGTAAGGAATTCATGTTTGTTATAGAAAAAATAAGAAATATAAATAAGTAATAGAGTTTAAAAATTTTAAATTGATCAGAAACCAATTACCTAGAAACATCTACTATTAACACTTTAGCACATCCTATAGGCTTAACATCATGTGTGAAATTAAACTGAATTGAATCATAGGTCTAAATATAAAAGGTAAATTAAAGGTCTAAATAATATAAAAGCTAAAACCATAAAACTTCTAGAAGAAAACATGATGTCAGAGTAGGCAAAGTTTTCTTAGGATACAAAAAGCATACATCATAAAAGAAAAATAACAAATTGGAATTCATCAAAGTTAGAAGCTTCTGCTCAAACACACACAGACATTAAAAAATGAAAAGGTAATCCAGGGCTGGGGAAAATGTTCATTTTATGTATATGACAGAGGACTTTTATCCAGAATGTGAAGAACTGTTTGCCTTGTAACACAAGACAAACAAACCAATTTTTTAAGAAGGCAAAAGATTTGAACAGATACTTCACCAAAGAAGAAAGGCAGATGGTAAATGAGCACATGAAAAGATGCTCAGTATCTTTAGCCATCAGGGAAATGCAAATTAAATGCACATTTGGATACCACTGCACACCTAGATACCACTACACAGCCCCTAGATTGATTGAAATAAAAAAACTGACAATACCAAGCGTTGACAAGAGTGTAGAGAAACTGAAATTCTCATATATTGATGTTAAGAAGATAAAATGATAAAACCACCAGTTTGACAGTCTGGTAATTTCTTTGAAAGTTAGACATGAAAGTCCTCTTTCATGCTACATAGTCATTTTACTCCTAGAGAAATGAAATCATATAACCATATAACGACTTATACACAAATGCTCATAATATTTTTACTCATAATCCCCCCCAGACTGAAAACTTAATGTCCAACGGCAGGTGAGTAGATAAACAAATTGTGATGTATTCATATAAGGAAATACTACTTGGTGACACAAAGGAATAAAGTACTGATACATATACAACATGGATGAATCTCAAAAACGTTATATGCTGAGCAAAATAAGCCAGACACAAAAGAGTAGATACCATATGATTTTACTTATGTGAAATCTTAGTAAAGGCTAATCTGTAACGACAGTATAATTTTCTGGGGCTGGAATTTTCAGGGTTGGGATTGAGTGGAAGGGGGCACAGTGGAACTCTTTGGGGTGATGGAAATATTTTTTATGTTGCTTGTGGTGGTGGTGGGTGGTATTATTACACATCTTTATAAATTTGTCAAATCTAATTGAAGTGTATACTTAAAATGGGAATCGATTTATTAAAAATACAACAAGGAAGGTGGTCTTTCCTTGTTTAAAAAAACAATCTGTATTTCCACTTTCTCTTGAAAAGTTGGATGATCCTTCTCAATTCAGTCTTAATTCCTGCATGGCAGTCATCAGTTGGAGCTGAGTAGCAACTGCCCCTATAGAAGGGTATGAATTCTCCAGTTTGCCGTAATTCCTACCACTGCCCTATTGTTTCGTACTCTGCTTTCTTCACTTGTTTATGTTACTGCCTAGTTCCTGCTGGCATTTCAGGTTTGCTATCCCTGCCTCATACACTGCTGTCATGGCAGTGCATGTCACTGGCCTACTCATGGCCTTTCAAAGAGGTGTTATATTTTTCTATTCCTAAAGCTTTCCTAGAAGGCCTTTTCTCTTTCTTTCCTATCTTTAAAGGCATAGTTCATTCCCTACCAATCATAGGTAGAAAGTAGAAGCTCTATCACAGAATTAGTTATGAGATCTGGTAAAGGCATTTATCATTCAGTAGATGGGCCAGACTTCCGGTAATTGATTTGGACTGACACACAGGCAGGCAACTCTCCACATAGATCCTTCTAGGGTTCAGGGAGAAGGGAGACTGCCTCTTTGCCAAAAAAGGGAAAGATTGTTCTTTAGGCAAAGGTGAATGTTACAGAGTTTAATAGTAAGATTAAATGAAGAACTTGGAGAGGACCAGGTACACAACGAGCTCTCAATAAGAAAAGCTTATTAGTAGCACCTTCCAAATGTTTAATTAGAACCTTTATTTAGAATGAGTATACATTTGCTCAGAATTACTTTTCTTTATTCCGTTAAGTTACAGAAGAATTGCCTTCTCTCCTTAACCAATTCCAGGATTCTTGTGGATGTTCCATTTGACAGGCAAGTATAAAATTGGATTATCTGATTTTGGAGTGTTGACCAGTGTTACTCTGAGCATTGTTGGCTTTTGGTTGTTAGCCTAGCAAGGGTCTGATTAAGGCTGGGATAAAGTGTTTGGGGAGAATGTTCTGTTGAGATTTTTGCACAGAGGTGTTCGGAAGTACTATACTTGCAAGTGTTGTCTCCCAAAGTGTGATTCCAGTTTAGGGCAGTGGGTGGTAAGAACATGGGTGCCAGAGAGTAAAACATCGAATCAAGTTCTAGCCCGTTCATTATCTTTGTGCGTAAGTTTCCTCATTTGTAAAATAGTGTCTCTTATGAGGATTAGATATGATGTTTGTAAGGTACTTATCACAGTGCCTAGCATAAGAGTGCAGACTGTTCTAAATATTAACCATTCTTTTTGTTATTATTTTATTGATAATGCTTTTTTCTAAAAGAAAAACAAAAAACACAAAACATCATTGTAGACTCCAGAGGGGTTCCTCTTGAGGCCATTGTAATCTCTCAGATTCATGAGTTCCAAAACAGCAATAATAGTTGCCATTAATAATAGTTGCTGCCAACAGGAAAATTAGCCACAGTCTGATATGAACAAAGCCCATGATTTATGCATGCAAGGTTGTAGGCTAAGCCATTCTCAAATCTAATTAAAGTGTGTACTTAACATGAGAGTTGACTTTTAAAAGTACAGTAGGGAAGGTGGTCTTCTTCATTAAAAAAAAAAAATCTGTATTTTCACTTTCTTTTGACAAGTTGGAAGCTCTTTTTCAACTAGCCTTCATTCCTGTATAGCAGTCATCTGTTGGAGCTGAGTAAAAGCCGTGAATAAAGGGCCATGAATTCTGTCTAGCTAAGTGATTTGTTTCCTGTGGCATTTTAGCACTGTCTGCAATTCAGATTATAAATTACTACCTCTTGGGAACTTATTTCCTTTTTCAGACCCATCATAGTTGAAACTGCTAAAAATAAGTCTTTTTTAGGTCTGTCAATCTTTGAATCTTGTGCATTTTGCTCACGTTTTTTTTCGCCATGCCTCGTGGCTTGTGGGATCTTAGTTCCTGACAAGGGATCGAACCTGGGCTCTTGGCAGTGAAAATGCATAGTCCTAACCACTGGACTGCTGTGCAATTCCCACTCACATTCTTTTTTGCATGCTCTCCTTTTCCTCTTCTGATTTTCTCTTCTTTTTGCCAAATGCTCTTTGCTTTCATAGCTGAGGCTTTACAAGTCCAAGACTATTTTTGTTAAACAAGATTTGTTGGGGAGGCTAACTGATTTCTTCACTTCTCATGTACAGTTTCACAAACTTTATTGTGAGAAAAATACTGTTTTTTAGGTTTGATGCTGCCAAATTTGTTATGAGATGGCTCTGTAAGCATGAAAACCCCAAGATGCAAACAATGGCAGTGAGCATAACCTCTATTCTAGCCCTGCAGGTATGTGATCGCTAAATGCAAAATTTCCCTCTCCATAGTCTTGGTGGAGCTTTGATGGAGGTCTAACATTTCACTTTCGGCTTTTTGTTTGTTTATAGCTCTCACCTGAGCAAACTGCACAACTTAAAGAAGAGCTCTTCATGGCAGTTAAGGTAGGTTAATTGTCACTTTTATAACTTTTTTTTCAGTAAAAGTAATTTGTGAACATAGTTTAAAAAAGTAAATCATTTTAAAAAGCTTATAAAATGAAAAATCTGTAAGACCTGCCACCCAGAAGAAACTATTCTGTACTCATATAGCTATTTCTTCTCCATATCTCTAAATAAAATGCTTATAATTGTGGTTTCAGTCTGTCATACAGAGTGAAGTAAGTCAGAAAGAGAAAAACAAATATCGTATATTAAAGCATATATGTGGAATCTAGAAAAATGGTACAGATGGACCTATTTCCAGGGCAGGAATAGAGACGCAGACATAGAACAGATATGTGGACATGAGGTCTAGAAAAATGGTACAGATGGACCTATTTCCAGGGCAGGAATAGAGACGCAGACATAGAGAACAGATATGTGGACATGAGGGGATGGGGAGGGTGGGACGAATTGGGAGATTAGGATTGACATAAATACACTACCATGTGTAAAATAGATAGCTAGTGGGAACCTGCTGTATAGCACAGGGAGCTGTCAGGTTGGTGCTCTGTGATGACCTAGCTGGGTGGGATGGCTGAGGGGGGGCGGTGTGGGAGGGAGGTCCAAGAGGGAGGGGATATATGTATACATATAGCTGATTCACTTCGTTGTACAGCAGAAACTAACAAAATTGTAAAGCAACTAAACTCCAGTTAGAAAAAAAGAGAGAGAAAAAAAAAGATTTATCAGTTTTAGATGTTATCTTGTGATTCTGCTGGTGTGGTAAATAAGAATTTGGCTCTCCCATATATCTCTACAAATTACCTCCTTTCCCAACCCCCAATAAATTTGTATTACAAGTTTTAATAAATCAGTGTCTACATTATGATTATGCTAACATTGATCATGAAAAAATGTACATCATTGTTTTATTTTGTACTTCTCTTATTCTGAGGTGAGGCTTGAGCCTTTTTTTTTGGAAGAGTCATTTATAATTTCTGTGAATTGTCTGTTCATGGTCTTTAGTTTTTCTTTAGGGTTGCTGGCTTTTTTCTAATTTATAGGATTCCTTTATGTTTATAGGATGCATGTAATTTTTCCCCAGTTGGCTGTTAGTCTGTTTTTGCTTTATTTATGGCATGATTTGGTACACAATAATTTTTAAAAAATTTTTATATTGTTGAATTTTTTCTTTTTTTTTTAAAGGAGAAATTTTTGTCATTGGTTTTTAAAAAAATATTTACTTATGTATTTTGGCTACAAAGGGTCTTAGTTGCGGCACATTGGATCTTTGTGTGGCACGTGGACTTCTTAGTTGCGACGTGCATGCAGGATCTAGTTCCCTGACCAGGGATCGAACCCAGGCCCCCTGCATTGGGAGCGTGGAGTCTTAGCCACTGGACCACCAGGAAAGTCCCCAGATGCTGGCTTTAGGTTGGAACAGAAAGGAAGGCAGAGTACACCGATGCAAGGGCAAGCAGGTTGTTAGATTTTGTTAGGAAGAATAGCTATGGTTCCCAGTGAAAACTTAGATGAATTGATCAAATGAGAGGAACAAGAAGATGGCAGTTAAAGTTTGGGGAGTGAGAATTATGAAATAGTAGTCTTTGGAGTGAATTCATTGAGAAATATAGTAGGATTGCCAGTACGGTTGAATGCCCTTTTGAAATTTTGAGGCAGATATTAAGAGTGAGACTCGAGCACAGTCTTTTTCAATATTCAGATTTTGGAGGTGGGGCATGAAGTAGGGTTTAACTAAGGTAGGAGTTTTGCCAAGGTGATGTGGTGGAAGAACACTGAAGTTACTGGGAATGCTAACAGTAATAGATAGAGGTAGAGAGAGATATTGATATGGAGAGCAAGTGCTTAAAGTAACACGGAGGGAAGTGTAGCCCTGTAGTTCTTGGAGAAACCATTTTAGTTAGTGGTACCAAAAGTTCAGGCTTTAACGTGGATGGATCTAGAGACTGTCATACAGAGTGAAGTAAGTCAGAAATAGAAAAATAAATATCGTATATTAAAGCATATATGTGGAACCTAGAAAAATGGCACAGATGAACCGGTTTGCAGGTCAGAAATTGAGACACAGATGTAGAGAACAAACGTATGGACACCAAGGGGGCAAAGTGGTGGGGGGTGGTGGTGGGGGTGTGATGAATTGGGCGATTGGGATTGACATGTATACACTGATGTGTATAAAATGGGTGACAATAAGAACCTGCTGTATAAAAAAATAAAATTAAATTAAAAAATTAAAAAAAAGGTTCAGGCTTCAGATTAAAACAAACTAGGTTCAGCCACTAGCTAGCCATAGCCCTTAGGTAATTTACTTATCTCCTCTGCGCCTCAGATTCTTTATCTGAAAAACTGGCGTTGGACATGGGAGTAATATTTTGCAGTTATTTTGAGTATTATTAAGATAAAATATGTAAAGCAGCTAACCATGGGCCTGACCACAGCTGTCATTGCTTTCCAGGTCAGCCTCACTTTCTGCTCCCTCCCTTGCTGCCACTCACCCTATTGGCTGTCTAGGTGATTGCTACCAGCGTGCTGTGCTCTCATATTCTTCTTTTGGCTCTAACAGCTTTATTTTCCTGAATTCTCTTGATGTGTTCTCTCCTGATTGGGTAAAATATTTGAGATGGTCTCATTCCTCCTGAAAACAGACATAATCTGGTTTGTTTAGCGTTGTTATATTTTTTTTTTTTTTTTCTTGCGTTATGCGGGCCTCTCACTGTTGTGGCCTCTCCCATTTGCGGAGCACAGGCTCCGGACGCGCAGGCTCAGCGGCCATGGCCCACGGGCCCAGCCGCTCCGCGGCACGCGGGATCCTCCCGAAACGGGGCACGAACCCGCGCCTCCCGCATCGGCAGGCGGACCCTCAAGCACTGCGCCACCAGGGAAGCCCAAGCGTTGTTATATTTTATGTATCTTTTCATTAGCTGGTTAAGTGGAAATGGCTGTCTTTTTCCTTTCACATGACAGTCTAGTATGTTTGAAAGAAACCATGAATACTGGCTTAACTTTTGTCTAGAAGAATTCTGATTTGAAATGATATATTGGAATCTCTGTTAAATAAGTCAGTGGTTTCTTCAAGCTATTAGGACATATTATACTACAAACAAGTGTTATCCTGTAGCCATACTGACCTGCTCAGTGGTGTAGAACAGCAAACTTTTTTTTGGCCTGGAATATCTGCCCCCCTCCCCTTTTTATGTCCTCATTCCTTGCTTAGCTGCCTTGTCCTTTTTTTCTTTTGGTCTCTTTTACATATTACCTTTGTATGGAGTCTTCCCTCTCCCACCTTTTCTAAAGAAAATTCTTAGGCTTTTATGTGTTTTCTTCAGAGCATTTACCAAAACTAAAAATTATTTTATTTAGTTGAGATAAACTGTTTTTTTAAATCTGTCACTCTTATCTGAATATGTGCCTGACTTCCAAAAGGTGTTGACTAAACATTCTCAATATGTGAATAATGGAATAGCTGATATGTACTTGATTATGAGGTTTATTAACAAGCACCAAGAACTAGATTATTAAAGCTTGATAAACTTTAATATTTTTTCCTCACAAAAACCCTAAAAAATAGGTGTAAGTCATTTTATAGAGAGAAAGTGGGTCACAAGGCTATTAAGTGGTAGAACTTGGGGTTAGAACCAAGGTTTGGTTCTAAAGCTTTTCTTAACCATTGCTTTCCTTATACTGGAATTGAGTCAGTCACTAGGGCATCTTACTCCCTGTCTCTTTGTTTTTTAGGAACTTCTAGCAATAGTAAAACAAAAGACTACTGAGAATTTAGATGATGTCACCTTCTTGTTTACTTTGAAAGCACTTTGGAATCTCACAGATGAATCTCCAGCTGCCTGCAAGCACGTTATTGAAAATCAAGGATTGGCGATCTTCATCCAAGTCTTGGAGGTGGGAAGACAGGATTGAGTTTATGTGTAAAGTCCTTTCCAAAAATATTTATTTATTTATTTAATTTATTTATTTTGGCTGCTCCTGGTCTTAGTTGTGGCATGCAGACTTCTTAGTTGCAGCATGCAGGCTCTTAGTTGCGGAATGAGGGCTTCTTAGTTGTGGCATGCAGACTCTTAGTTGTGACATGCATGCGGGATCTAGTTCCCCGACTAGGGAATTGAACCTGGGCCCCCTGCATTGGGAGTGCGGAGTCTCACCCACTGGACCACCAGGGAAGTCCCTGTAAAGTTCTTTTCTTCATGATAAAGTAACCTGTATATTCTTTTCACAGACTTTTTCAGAGTCAGCAATACAGAGCAAAGTACTTGGTCTTTTGGTAAGGTGAATTGTTTTGAGTTAATTCTAATTACTTAAAAAAATAGAAAGCTCACGCTCATGTAGTACCTACTGTGTGCTAGGCACTTTTGTAAGCAGTTTATGTGCATTAACTCGTTTAATCTTCACACTATCCCTATAAAGTAAATACCATTATGTATGAGTCATCTATTGTTGTAAACACTACCGCTTAAAACAGCATCCATTTTATTCACTTATGAATCTGTGGGTCAAGAGTTTGAACTCAGCTCAGCTGTACAGTTCTTCTGCTGGTCTCTGTGGAGTTACTCATGTCGCTGTAGTCATCTGGTGGCTCAGCTAGGCCTAGATGCTCTAGGATGGCCTGACTCTCAACTCTGACCGTTGGTGCAGGTTGTTAGCTGGGCCTTGTGTCTCCATGAGCTTCTCCACTTGGCAGTTTCTGGGCAGCAGTAGAAGGCAAGTGCACTGTACAAGTGCTTCTTAAACCTCTGCTTATATCAGATTTTCTAATGTCTCACAGGTCAGTAGGTTACGAGACCTGGGGTGTTTTCCAACAACCACTTTGCCACTTGTTCGACACCAACTGGGTGTCCTACAGTTCGATTCAGTTCACTTCTGCCACTAGCTATCCAGAGTTAGCATCAGATCCCACAGGTTAAAAACCTCAGTCCCACAAGTCTGCGTCCACTTTAGTTGCCAACTGTTAAGGCCAGGCCAGCCCTACTTCTGACTGACTGACTTTAAATTGGGGGTTTCCACGACCCCATCCTCAGGTTGATAATTTGCTAGAATGGCTCACAGAACTGGGGAAGGCACTTTATTTGCTATTTTCAGTTTATTACAGGATACAACTCAGAAACAGTCAAATAGAAGAGATATGTAGGGCAAGGAAGGAGGGATGTGTGCAGAGCTTCCATGCCCTCTCTGGATACACCACCTTCCAAGCACCTTGATGTGTTCACCAACCCAGAAATTCTCCAAACCCCATTATTTAGGGGTATTTATGTGGGGGTGGGGGTCTCATCACACAGGCATGATTGATTATTAATTCCATCTTTAGCCTCTCTCCTCTCCTGCTGAGGTTGGGGGCATGGGGTTGAAAGTTCCAGGCTTCTTATCAAGGTTTGGTCTTTCTGGCATCCAGCCCCCATCCAGAAGCTATCTAGGTGCCTGCTAAGAGTCACCTCATTAGAACAAAGATGCTTCATTCACTCCAGAAATTCCAAGGGATTTGAGAGCTCTGAGTCAGGAACTAGGGACAAAGACCAGGTATTTCTTATGCCTATGGATAAGCCCAGATTAAAGGAGGTGGCCACCCCTTGATGGGAAGAGCAGCAGTCACATTGTTAAAGGGCATATACACAGGGATAGGGAAATTGAGTTATGTCCTGTACTCTCCCATACATCGTTGTCTACATTTTATAGATATTCATTCTGAGGCACAGAAGTGCCATTTACCCTATGTTACCTAGATAGTAAGAGGCAGAGTCAGAACTCAAACTCAGGCAGTCTGGCTCCATACCCTCTGATATTAGCCACTTTACTTCCTCTTTAACAATTGAATTAATTTTTTAGAAATATCTTTGTTTATACTTTTATACTACCTCCCAATCGGGGTATTTGTTATTGAGAGATTTCTTTGTTTCCTAAAGATAAAGGTGAAGATTTACAAAAAGTAACGAAGACATACTACTGTATGCCCCTGCAGTTTGCTGTGCGGGTGCTTCGGAAGACACAGATACACGAAACATAGCAAGCTGGTAGTACTAATAATGTTGGGAGGTGGTGTCAGACATGTATGCAAATACCTCTCTAATTCATGATTGACTGTGGTAAGTGCTGGAAAAGAGGCACAAAGTCCAGTGGGAGCCTTGGATTCTAGATCATGAACTCATTGAAAGCAGGGACTGTGTCTTTCCCTTTGTATCTCTAACACATACAGGACTTGGGACAGAGCAGATGTGAAAGGCTTCATAGAGAGGAATACATGATTAGTATTGGAAACCTGGAAGGTACAGAAAAGTAAAGAAAGGAACAAAGGTCATTTTGGGCTAAGAAAGGATGAGAAAATGTAATCATTTGAGGGACACCGTAATATAGAGTATCTGGAATTTTGGGAGAAGGTGGGAAGAAGAAAAACAGTGGGAAATCAGTGCAGAGGGTGGATTGAAGCCTCTTAGAGCTGCACAATGCTAAATGTCCCTTCTTTTTATCCTTTCGAGAGCCTCTCAGAATACTGAGGGTTAGGGAGGTTGTTCCTTGTCCTTCGTTTTTCTGTATGAGGAAGACTCACATTCTCCTGTAGCTCCCATTCAGTATTTTATTCCATAGACTCTTGGGAAGAAAAGGCTAATATAAAAGCCTCTGCCAAGATTAAAGAGGAACTTGGGACTCAACTGAGGTGTCCCTCTCAGGTTTGCTAAGGATCCTCTCTGTCATCTTGTCTCTTCTTGTTTGGGGCTGCCATCTGATATACTCAATGCTATCGTCATGCTGTTGACCAATTGTGTAGCTGGCCCAGGGAAGAAGGGCAGGGGGTCTAAAAACAGTGCAATTTCTGCTGAAATAATGCTGTTAACAAGAGAGGTATAGCTAGTCTTGGGAAAAGGGGGCAGGGTGGGTCTCAAAACAGTACAATTTTCTGCAGAGTGCCTTATGCCTTTCTCAACATACTAAGTCTATAGGGTATACTTTTCTGAAAGCTGCTTTAAAAGGAGCAGTAACTGCTGTGGTCGCTTTGACTGTGTGTTTATCCTCTAAACCTTTGTTTTTTCATCTGTGTAGTGGACAGACCCTAAGTGACCAACCCCCAGTGATTAGAGTTTTTTTGGTGTTCATGTCTTTGTGTAACCCCCTTCCCTAGAGTCTGGGCAGGACCTGTGACTTGGTTCTAACTAACAGAATATGGCAAAGATAATAGGATATCACTCCTGTGATTATATTACAATATGTATAAAATCCTTCCTAGCAGACACTCTAGAGAAGTGAGTGGTTGGAGAAGGGAGAAGCCCACATAGCAAAAAAAAAAATACTATGGGCAGCTTCTGGGAGCTGAGGGTGACCTCCAGCAAGAAACCCTCCTTCCTGCAGCCACAGGGGAATGAATTCTGCCAATGGTCTGAGTGAGCTTGGAAGTATACTCCCCACCCACACCTCACCCACTGAAGCCTCCAGATGAGAATGCAGCCCAGCCAGCCCTTTGATTGCAGGCTCGTGAGACCCAGCTAAGCGAGGCCCACAGAAACTGGGAGAGGAAAAATGTATGTTGTTTTAAGCCACCAAGTTTGTGTTAATTTGTTACACACATAGAAAACTAATACAGTACATAAAATAACGAAAATACTTCCTGCCTTTCATTGTTACTGTTAAACTTAAAGCTAATGTAACATATAGTGGGCCCCCAGGAATGTTAAGTTTTTTAGTCAAACCTGGATTTGTATTCTAGTCAACCAGTTACTAGCAGTGTGAACCTGACAAGTCAGTCTTGCTGAGTGTCGAATTTCTTTGTAGGACTATTAAAGATTAAGTGCGATAAGGCAGATAAAAAGACATTTCAGTCTCTCTAGCTCAGTGCCTGGCACTTAATAAGTGCTTACTCAATGATTTGTTATTACTGATCATCCTCATCATCAAGGGGGTGGGATTGTAGGTGTTAGGCTAAGTCAGAGGGAGGAGGATGGGACTAAGTGTTCTTGTATGTATATGAGCTGAGCAGTAGGAGAGGGAGAGGAACCAGTTCCTGATTCTCCCCTCCTTTCCTGTCCCTGATATTCTCTGCCCCATCTGACCCATAGAACAACATAGCTGAAGTCAGAGAACTCTCTTCCAAGCTGATGACTGAAGATGTGGTAAAGCATGTCAGCAGCTTGCTGCATAGTAAGGAATTGGAAGTCAGCTATTTAGCTGCAGGCATCATAGCCCACCTGACATCTGACAAACAGCCCTGGATATCCCATGACCTCCAGAGGAGAGCACTTCTCCAGGATCTGGTATGAGAACCAGTGCTCTTTACAAAATCCAGTCATCTCTTCTTGCAGAAAACATTTTTCTAGATCATAAGAAGTTTTGAAATATGTGTTCATTGTAGAAAATGGGAAAGAGAGAGAAAAATATAAAGAAAACATTATAAATCACCCACACCTTAACCACCCAAAGCTAATCCCTATTAACATTTTGTTGCATTCCTTCTCGTAACTTTCCTTCTATAAAAGTTATACATGCAAACCGTTTATATGGCTTATTCTCTTTCCCACTCTCAGCTCTTTTTAAAGCTATTTCTTTTGGTGTTTACCTCCATATCGCTAAGATATGTTGTTATTTCTTGACTTTGTAGTTTAAGACATTATCAATTTATTTTCCCACTTTGGAAAACGAAGATTCTTTTTCTCTTTGTCCCAATGCACACCCTTTCCTATACTCCAAGTATACATCTCGTTTCAGTACATTCAAGCACATCCTGTCTACTTCAGCTTCTCGGAGACTACTTTCCCAAGCCTTCTGTTTTTTTCCATCTGATTTGCTTTTTTGTATATCTGTTAGACCACTGTCATCCCAGGATATTCATTTACTATCATTCTGGAGATTCTCTTTGCTCTCTTGTGTTGGATTCCCTGTTTCCTGGATTGCGTACCTTCCTATTTTTTGGTGTACTCCCTCATTCTCTTGGGTCATATCCTCCAGTAGCTTCCTAAGAGATGTATGAAAAAGAAAATTTGAAACCTTTTATGTTTGAAAAGGCCTTTATTTTACATTCACATTTAGTTGATCAACTGGCTAGGTATAAAAGTTAAGTTTTGAAATATTTTCACAATTTCTAAGTCATTGCTCCACTGTCTTTTATTTCTCTGTATCACTGTTGAGAAGTCCTGTGCTATTTTTCTTTGGAAGCTTTAAGACCTTTGTCTTCAGTGTTTGGAAATCACAGTGATGTGCCTTGATGTGGGTTCATTTTCATCTGTTCCGTTGGCTACTTACTACTCTGGAAGCTCATTTCCTTCAATTCTGGGAAACTTCTTTCTCTCCCTCTCGCCCCTCCATCCTTCCTTTTTCTTTCCTCTTTTTTCTCCCTGCTTCCCTCCCTTCCTTTTTTTTTTTTGGCTGCATTGGGTCTTTGTTGCTGCACATGGGCTTTCTCAAATTGCAGCGAGCTGGGGCTACTCTTTGTTGTGGTGCACGGATTTCTCATTGCAGTGGCTTCTCTTGTTATGGAGCACGAGCCCTAGGCATGTGGGCTTCAGTAGTTGCAGCACACGGGCTCAGTAGTTGTGGCTCGCGGGCCCTAGAGCACAGGCTCAGTAGTTGTGGTGCACAGGCTTAGTTGCTCTGCGGCATGTGGGATCTTCCCGGACCGGGGCTTAAACCCGTGACCCCTGCATTGGCAGGCGGATTCTTAACCACTGCACCATCAGGGTGGTCCCGTCCCTCCCTTCCTTAATTTCTGTTCTTCTGATTGAAGATTATAAGGTCGGCTTCCAACAGGCTAAACACCCACTAGAGGAAGAGAGTTGGGGGGTAAAGGAGACTCAGCATTTAGTATTTAGATTTTTCACTTTAGCCCTGTTTTTGGCATGGTACTCCCAGCCTCAATTGTTCATGGGATTGCCCAGTCCAGAAATTTTTGTAAGGGGTGGTAGAGGAGATCTTGAAGTCTTGATTCTTTGGTACTTTCAACCAATCCTCCTATTTTCAACCCCACCTCTAATCTCACTTCCTGAAGTAATACTTTTGCCAAATTTTTAAGTCTCTTGGGTGTTCTGTTCAAAATGGTTTGTTTTTTTAACCTTCCCCGGTGCTAGATCTATTAAATTAGTTACCATTTTTCTTCTGCTTTCTTCTATGTGTATTTGTCTTCTTTTAAACCATTTGTATCATTCTGTTCATGGGATTTAGGGGAGGAGTGGGTACATGCTCAATCTTCCATCATTAAACAGGAGCCCCTTTTTATTGCATTGTTTTCCACATGACTTTGTTTATATTCTACATATATAATGCTTATCTAATTGATAGTTGGCAGGTTAGGTATCCTAAATTTGAGTAATCAATCCCATATTTTGAAAACTTATGTTGTTTCATATATATGTAATTATAAATGACATGGAACAATACTAGAATCTTGATATGTCTTTTTGTACAGTATACAACTATCCAGAATTGGCCAAGTTCAAGTTGTAAGATGACAGCATTGGTGACCTACAGGTAATTTCATGATGGTATAGTGCTTTTCTTAAAGCTTGTCCTCATTCTACACACTAGGTAGAGGCTATGGTACAGTGATAAAATATTAGAATAAAATAGCATGTGTTCAAATCCTGTTTCTTTGTGATATTGGGAAAATCACTTTTAGAAAATCTCTGAGACTCAGTTTCCGTCATCTGTAAAATGAGGCTGGCAGTGTGCAAGATTGAGGGTGGAATCAGATATTGAATGTATAATGTCTCACACAGAGTATAATTTCTTAAATGCTAGTTCTGATTATATGCTCAGCAGTACATCTGTCTTGGTGAGGAATTGACCCTGGGGGGAAAATGTTGAAAATTATTATTATATCCCTGATGTTAGCTTGAGTTCTGAAGAAACATCTTCTTTGTACTTATTTAGATCCTTCAAGGCATTTTTCCCACTCCTTGGCAACGTCTCTCAACCAGAGGTTCAGCTCTGGGCACTATGGGCCATGTATCATGTCTGCAGTAAAAACCGTATGTAATTAAAAAGAATAGTTTTCCAGCTATTTTTCTGTATAAGGATTAAGTTCAACATGGAATTTTGAAAAATTGTTCACCTATGTCCTGATTTTAACACTTTTAAAAAAGCAACTGAAAAGCATTTGTATTAGTATAAAAAATGCTACAGAATTATAATTGGGGGTGGTTGTCAAGCGATATAGAAAGTGAAAGTTTGCTCCCACTCCTATTCCCCATAGGCAAGCACTATCCATAAGTTGATAACTATAACTATACTTCCAGATACTTTTCTGTATACATGCTATAGTTAGTATATACTCTATGCGAATAGGATAATGTTTTTAGACAAAATGGTCTCATTCTGTGCATACTATCCTATAGCTTGCTGTTTTTCACTCAGTAGTTTATCATGAATACTATTCTTCCTATAGTAATACATAGATTTGCCTCTTTGTATTGGTTTGAGGGAGGCTGGGGGGCCAGATGTCAGGAGTTGGTCCCAGGCAGATTAAATGTTTTTCCATGTTTTGCTGTTTTAAATTCCCCTTGGGAATTCTTGGCTTTTATTGTTTTTTTTTTTTTTAATATTTATTTATTTATTTGGTTGCGCCAGGTCTTCGTTGTGGCTTGTGGGCTCCTTAGTTGCAGCACATGGGATCCTTAGTTGCGGCAGGTGGACTCTTTAGTTGTGGCTTCAGGGCTCCTTAGTTGTGCCTTGCCAGCTCCTTAGTTGTGGCGTGCATGTGGGATCTAGTTCCCTGACCAGGGATCGAACCCAGGCCCCCTGCATTGGGAGCATGGAGCCTTATCCACTGCACCACCAGGGAAGTCCCTTGGCTTTTATTCTTTGTTAAGCATTATTATTAAAATTTTTGCTTTTATTATAAAAGACATATAGGCTATAATTTTATACTAAAATACCTAAGATATAACTTTTAGAATTAATTAAAGTTTTAACTATCAAAAGCATAAGCTATCTCAAAATGGCTTTAACAAGTATTGAGGCCTATATGCAAAAAAACTATAGGAAATAATTTAAAAGCCTGAAATAATTGTGAGACATACTATACTCAGTTCTTTTCAATTCACAGATATAATACAATTCAAGTGAATGAGTAAGAGTTTAGGAATCTGAAAATTATTTTAAAGTTAAAGTGGCAGGATAAACAGGAAAGAACTGACTGAGAAAAATGGTTTTTAGGAGCTTGCCCTAATACTTCTCTTTATTTATTTATTTATGTTTGGCTGTGCCTGCGGTGTGCAGATTCTTAATTCCCAGACCAGGGATCAAACCCTGGCACCCCTTGCAGTGGAAGCGTGGGGTCCTAACCACTGGACCACCAGAGAAGTCTCTAACACTTCTCTTTAAATGGTACTGGCATATGAATAGATGGAGGCAGATCAATCAGTTTGAATGGTACTGAAATAGACTCTAGTATATTCAGTTACAACAGTAGTAACTCTAACAACAACTAGAATTCAGTTGAGTATTTATATTTACTATGTGCCAAGCAGTGTTGTAAGCTATTTATGTGTAACTTATTTAATCTTCACAACAGATAGAACGGGTAGCATTTTATTGTATTTATTGTTACAGATGAGAAAACGAGGCATAGAGAAGTAAAGTAACTTGCCCAAAGTTAAAATAGCCTGCACCGGCAGAGATAGGGTGCTAACCTAGTGATCTGACTCCAGATCACCACTATTAATTAGATTGCTCTGTATTTCTTTGCTGTATGATGTAACAATTTATTTAACATTGTTTCCAGGCTTTTCTATTACAATACAAACACTGGTTCAATGAATAATGACATTCTCTCTCTCACTGTCACTCACACACATACTATATATTTAGGAAAGATGAACATGTGTGCTAATTAAGAGGACAGACCCCAGAATCAGACTATTTGTACTTTGCTCCCATTTACTAACTGTGGGAGCTTGAGCAAGTTACTGAACCCCTCTGTGCTCCAGTTTCCTCATCTGTAAAATGGGGATTAAAGTACCTATTTCATAGGGCTGTTATGAGAATTAAATGAGGTGACATTTGCAAAGCATTTAAACATTGCTTGGCTCATAGTACGAGCATTTGTACATAGCACAGTATTAGTACAAGCGTAGTGCATAACATTTGTTAAAATAAAAGATCACTTTGCAAGCATAATCTGCAGAATACTTTTAGAATTACTGAGTCAAAGTGTTATGAATGCTTCTTTTGGTAGGTATTGCAAAACTGTCATCCAGAGAATTGATTACCAGTTTGCATTCCCATCAGCAATATATTAGAGCTTCCAGTTTCCTTTTATTCTTGCAAAAAGGTTTAGTTGAGTTTTTTTTGCGGGGGGGTACACGGGCCTCTCACTGCTGTGGCCTGTCCCGCAGCGGAGCACAGGCTCCAGACGCGCAGGCCCAGCAGCTCCGCGGCACGTGGGATCCTCCCGGACTGGGGCACGAACTGGCATCCTTTGCATCGGCAGGCAGACTCTCAACCACTGCACAACCAGGGAAGCCCTAGTTGAATTTTTTGATCTTTGTCAATCTAAGGTGAAAGAGAGTCTCAGTTGACGTTTATTTTAAGTAAGGTGAAGTGTCTTATATTTGAATTGTCTGTTGATTTCCATTGCTCGCTTTTTGTTTACTGATTTTTGGTCTTTTTCTTTTTAATTTGAAGGAACTCTTGCAAATACTTTTTCCCAGTTTATTGTCTTGATTTTATTCATTGTTTTTACAAGTCAATATTTTGTTATATGGCCTCTGGGTTTCAGGTCATGATTACACCTTACAAAATTGATGAAAATTTTCAGCCATTTTCTTTTAAAATATTACCCTCCACCTATTCTCTCTATTCCTTTCTTGTAACATCTATCAGAAGTATCTTATACCTTCTCTGAATCTGTCCTACATATTTTGTAACCATTTAAAAAAAATGTTTCCATGTCTTTGTTTCTTTTTACTGCATTCTTGGTAATTGCCTTAGATGTGTTTTTGGATCATTGTTTCTGTGTCTAATAGACTCTTGGACTGATTAAGAGAATCCTTTCAGACTGAGTTGTGCACATGTCCCTTCAGTACAGCTTTGTATTTGCTTCTGTCAAGTGTTCTAGAGGTTTCCCTGGGATTGGACTAATTCTTATATTAATTTCTGAGCTCAAGGGTTCCCAGAGCATTTAGGGTAATATAAATTCAAACCCTGTACCAGCTTGGGACTGGTTATAAAACTTCTCCCCAGGAGCCCAGGCTAAGTGCAGATGTTTCATTGTCTTATCCGTTGTCTTGTCTAGCCCTTTGAGGGGCCAGCTTTATGCACTGATTTTGCTTCTGACTTCCTAAGGTAAAATCTAAATTCCTAGATTACTGAAACTGACGGTCCCTTTCTGCCGGACAATAGTTACAGGTTAGGTTACATGAGCTTTAGGTGATTTTTGCTCTTTGTGTCTGACTCCTGGACAATTCCTTTACTTTGTGCACTCAACTATGAATTAAAAATTTTTTTCAATTATACTGTATCCAGCTCTGGTGTTTTTAGGTTGTCTAGCTCAACATATTGCCTGAACCTGAAATTTGTATTATTTTTGTAATAAAAGATGTTCTTATCCTTTTAGCTAGGATTAGAGACATTTGAAGCATAGAGTTGTCCAGAAGTAAACATACTAAAATAATCATCCATTATCTCATTATACAAGCCAAGCATTAACTGGCATATTTCTTCTAGATTGACACAGTTTATCTGTTAATTCCTGTGTCAAAGGGCTTGAAACTTTGTACTGTTTCTTCAAAATGGTGAATGTGATAATCTGGGAATATTTAAGATGCCAGCTTGTCCATCAGGTTTCTTTGCTTGATTTTCTTTCAGCCAGCAAATACTGCGGAATGTTAGTCGAAGAAGGAGGACTGCAGCTTTTGTGTGACATCCAGAAGCACAGTGAGGCAGACCCCCAAGCACAGCACATTGCAACCTCCATTCTAGATGACTTCAGAATGCATTTCATGAATTATCAGAGATCCCCTCTCTGTTGAATGCCCTTCTCATCCTCAGGGGCTTCAGAGGTGCTCCGTTGCTCAGTGTCAGGTCTTCTGCCCTGTCACCAATTGAATGTTGAATTGAATTGAAACAAGTTGTCATTGGAGTTTGTGAGTTGACTGCCTCCTTGGCCTTTTTTTTTTTGTTTTTTTGGTTGTTTTTTTGTAATTTATAAGAAGGTTGGGTTTGTATGATAGCCATGATCCCAAATCAAGTTGGAATCATTCTGGGAATACCCTTTCAGCAGTTTTGAAAAATCAAGCCCTGGACTCTGTGTGAAGACCTGTGAGCTTGTGTTGGAACAGCTCTGCCAGTTACTTTTCTCTAGCCCTGGCCAATTTCTTAACTCTGAGTGTTTGTCAGAGGAAAGGAAAAAGAAAGACGTCCGGGGAAACTTTGATATTTATGTTAAATTTCATGTTTGAAAGAATCTCCTAAGTTGTCCTTCCTGGTTATATGAAGCCACTGGAAAAGTACATGAAAAAGTTCTAGGAAACATACACGTATAAATGTATTGTTTGGAAGGCAGAACCTCCAAAGGAGGGGAGGAAAAATATATATTTTTAATAGATACCAGAGTACCTTCCATTTGTTTGGTGGAGGGAAGAGAAATATATTTTTATGACTTTGGATAGTCTACCTTTGACCTTTCTTCCTCCAGCGTTACACATTAGACTGAGTAAGCATAACATTGTGTGTAATTGGGTGTGCTGGTGGGGCATGGTCAAAGTTAGGACTGATAATAGAGTGTTCAGATGAAAGATTATATGGGGATTATAAATCTCAATCCCTCAATCCCTCAAATTTTTAATTTGAGTTACGACTGTGACCAAAACTGAGAGGAAAAGGAAGAGCTGTGCCAGAGGTGTAAAGAGGTGCTCTTACCTAACATGGAGATGAGAAAAATAGTGAGCTTTTCTGAGAACCAGCCTCAACCACAGTATAAACTATCAGAAGCTTTGGTTTGTGTCCTCTGCAAACCCACTCTATGGAATAGAGAATGAAGTCCTTCCTCACCTTATTACTGACAACTAACAAAACATGTTTTACCATTCATCTGTTTAAGTTTTTCAAAGAAATAAATTCCTTTCTGAATTAGTATCTTATTTTAGGACTAGATTTTTGTGCTGTTTGCTGGCCAGACTCTTAACTGGAATGCTATATACCCTTGTTTGGAATCAGATGAGGCTTATTCTTATTCTAAACCATATTTCAAACTATTGCTCACTGGCGACTGGGTAAGAGGAATTTGTAACCTGCTTCCTTCTACAGTCCTGCAACTACACAGTATTTTCTCTCATTCACTCTTTTGCATGATTCAAAAGGCTGTCTTACTTTCCTGTCCTGAGTTCCGTACGTTGGAACATGCTGTTACCAAGATACTAGCTTAGGCTAATGTGAGGAGGGTGGGTGGGAAATAGTGCCTCTTGAGGTCCAGTTCTACACTGGGCACCTCTCCAAGTTTTGTCTCATTCACAGCAGTCCTCTGTGATAGTTGAGTTTTATCCTCCCCATTTAACAGATGAGAAAGAGGAAGTTCAGGTTACTTTCCTGAGTAGATAGATGCTGCTCATGTGGTTGCTGCTGATTCTAAGACTTGGGCTCTTCTGTGTTACTCTCCCTTTCAGGAAATGAGCACAACTTTGCGGCACATTTGTATTTAGCAGCAAGTCAACAATGTTATTGGTATGTGTCCATGCCCGTGGCTTAGTGACTTGTGAGTCTGGCCAGGCGTAGGCTCAGAAAGCTCAGATCAGTTAAAGAATGACCACGTGGCTGTCTCTTCCCCTGCCTTGGTACACAGAAGGAGGGCTCCTGAGACTAGTGTGCATATGTGCATATCAGCCACCCTTTATTTCTGAGTGTCGTCATCTTGCTCACTTTTGCTCGTGCTGTTCCCCTCAGGCTTCCTCTTTTTCGCCTCAAATGCCTATTGATCCTTCAGCTTTCAACTCCAGTGTTACCTGCCCATTTCCTGACCTTCCATGTCGTCCATCAGAGTTAATCGTTCCCTTCTCAGTACTCCTGAAAGCTATTTAATGCTCCATCAAAGATTTGTCTGCCACATTACAGTTTACAAAAGGTTTGCACAGCAGTGATTTCATCTGGTTCTTAAAAGAACATTGTACATGAATAATAACACGTTTATTGAACATCAGGCGTTTTATTATTTTTTTAGTCCTCCCAACAGTTTCATTATAGATGAGGAGGCTGAGGCACACAGTGAGTAACTGGCAGAGAGCTGGGCCTATTCAACCACTGCCAGGGTTTCCTTATTATCTCTGTTGTACAGGGGAAGAAACAGGGCAGTTGGGGATGGTTCTTACAACCTCCTGTCATCTCTGGTGAGCACCTAATAACTGAGATGCAGAGGTCAGGCTTGAGTGCCAGCGATATAAAGGCCCAGAGGGGTCTGTTTTGTCCTTAGTTGATCGTTCTATTAGGGAGAGACAGGTATTCTCCAAAGCCAACCCCACGCCAGTGATTGTCTAGCCTGGATGAGGAATGACGAAGGTAGCGGTAGGTGGCATAGTCAGCACCTTAGTGCCAGGCACCATGCCAGTCACTCTATATCGATCATCGTCCTTGTGAGGAAACTGAAACCTAGAGAGGTGAAATGATGAGGGCAGGTGCACTGCACAGTTTCCTTCTGGATCCTTCCCTGTAAGGTGTGCATCTCCCATGCTTAAGGTTCAAAGGAAATCACTCGCCAACAAATCTAGGGGGCCGCTTCTCCCTGAAGGCAGCCATGCCTTCCAGCCGATCCCGGGTCGGGATGTTCTGAAACAACATACAGAGTATTAGTCTGTGGGAGCAGGACCAGAGGCCAATACTCGCTCAAGCTTGTTCAACGCATGACAAGGACAGAATCCAAGTCTTTCGCTGCCTCTGGACTCCGGTGTTGGGCCATGCAACAGTATGGGCCTCGATGGCTCCTTGGTCTCCTGGGGAAGGCAGGCTGCCTTTTCAGCACCTGAGGCCTGTCACACTAGCCTCTCTTTGCACACAGCTTGCATGCCTCCAGAGAGCTCACAGTCTCATGCAGCAGTCTGAAATGAGGCTACTCAGTAGAGAAGATAGATTAGGCTTTGCGGTAAGAACTCTGGCTTTGAATCCTGGTATGTAGTTGGTTCACACTACGTCCTACAAGTCCCAGGACCCCCTGTTTAGGAGTATTTTCGTTATTTGTTAACCTGGAGATTAATATTTTTGACTCACCCAGGAGTGAGGAGCTAAATAGGTCAGCCCCAGGTTTATTGCCCCACCATCGAACACACACAGCCTACAGGTGAAAACCAAGGCTTTGATGTCCCACTCCAGCCTGGCCTCTACAGTAGCCACTGGTACAGAGATCGCATAAGCCGCTATTCTTCTCTCTCAAGTTCCTCTGTGATTCTCTGGGCACCCAAGTAGAGCAGGATACACCACCATTAGATGGCGGAGGAAACAGTCCCAGAGAGGAGCAGTGTGGCTCCCCTGGGATCACCCCAGGCTAACTGAGGAAGGAATGGCACAAAGACTTGACTCTCTGGGTTGGGAGGAACGTACTGAATTGGTCATATAGTACTTAAGGCCGCCCACTCTGGCCCGGCCTCTGCTACAAGCATGCAGGACTGGTGGCAGACACATACCTGGGCATAGCATATCCCTTCAGTGGCCATCCCTGATGCAATGTCCACCTGCAAGAAAGAAGTTGTGCCTGGATCAGCCTGACCTTGCCCATCTCCATCAGCACTGGGCGCCAGCTTGCCCTACTTTCTACACCACTTCTTGCTGATAATGGATTCTCCCAGCAAAGAATTATTGAGGCTTACTGTGTGCCAGCCCATATGAAGAGAGATGAGATGATAAGGAATCCCCTACCTGGAGAGGGAAATACCATTCATAACAGTGGTGAAATAGTGCTGGGACGAATGCGGGCTGTGAGAACAGTGGGGAGGATTACACATAGCCTGTAGAGCTGAGGAGGGTGTGCCTGAGCTGTGCTTGCACAGACAGTGTTCCCTCCTTGCCGTCTGGCTGCCTCCGCATGCCTCCTGTCACCCCTATTAGTGAACTTTGCTGGCTTCCCATTGCCCTGAGGACTAAGGCCTTTATGACTTGGCCCCTGGCAACTTCCCAGCCTATACTGCCCAGTACTTGCTATTACTACCACTTACAAGCACTATTCTAAGAGAAGTACCTTTCACAACGGGTTATTTTCCCTACTATACAGCTGAAAAATCTGAGGCATAGAAAGGTGGAATGATTTGTCTAAGGGCACAACGGTATGTGGAAAAGCAGGTCTTTGAACCCAGATGGTCCAGCACCAGAGCCTATGCCCCTAACCTCCATGCTATGTTGTCTCACTCGTCCCTTCGTCCTGTTCTGTCAAGTTGCTTATTTATACACCTCTGTGTTTTTCCTCACACTTCTCCCTATTTTTTGGAATTCTCATCCACCCTAAGCCCCAGTTCTAGAAAACATTCTCCAACTCAGCACTGTCCAATACCGTAGCCAGTAGCCACATGGACAGTGCAGCTCTAACCTCTCCAGGGTGTCTGCTTGGTACCCTTGACCTTTTATTAGTGATTTGTGTCTGTCCCCCTCCCCACCTTGGGGGCAATGACCATATTTGACTCATTTCTGTGTCCCAATTCAGGTCTAGGTTCAGTGTGTGATGAATGAATGAATAAGCTGATATCTAGGATGGGTTAGCTGCAGCCAAGTCACCACACCTGAGCCCGGTCCATGAGACCACATTACCGACCACCAACACAAACCTGAGAACATGGACTGGGAGCCACGCAGACCTGGGTTCTTGTTACTCCCTTGTTCTGTGACCCTGGATAAGTCTTACCCTTTCTGAACCTCAATTTCCTTCTCTCTCCAAGGGAGAGAGATGAGGATAAAATGTCATTTGGAATATCACCTGGCCAAACTTCATTTTGTAGGTAGGTAAAAGCAAGGCACAAAGAGAGAGGTCAGACTCAAAGTCTGTTAGAAGAGTCCAGTTCCCGAGCTCTTTCCAGCTGTGCTGTCCATCTGTTTGCCATGAAAGCACCACCTCCCAGCCGCCCCACTGACTTCAGTGGGGCCCAGGTTCCAACCCAAAACCCTCTCACCTCTGTTCCTCGGTCAATGGCTACTTTGGCCAGCTGCACAGCAGTGGGGGCCTAGGGAAAAGAAGCAGCTTGGTTGAGGAGGGGATCAGTGCTCATAGTTAGGCACACAGCTCCACGGTGGGGGAAGAGGTCTGCACAGAGATCCAGCTGTTCTACTGACAGTGTTAAGTTTCGTTAGTTTTAGTACCTGCTGCTTCTCAGCTGATGTTCCTTTTCTATAATGGAGGAAGCCTAACTGATCCCTGACCCTCCCAATCCTGACCATCCGGGGTTCTTGTCATTTAATCCATCCCTCCAGCATGTACAACATTTTCCAAATACTTTCCCACCCACAGACTTCTCTAATGGTCAAATGGTGCTACCCATCCTTCCAGGATGGTGCCATGTTTAATCGAGGCTCAGGGTGGTGAAGCACTTGGCCACGTTTGTCCAGTGAGTCAGTGGTGAAGCTTAGATCTGATTCCCAGTCACCTTTCCCACTGCTGCTCCCTTCCTCTACCTCTCTCATCTCAAGCCTCTACCGCAAGCAAGTTTTCCCCCAGTAGGGTGAAAAAAGGTCAAGATTAGGAACTCGGGCTTTGGAGTCTGACAGGCCTGGGTTGAAACCCTGAGGGGGCATTTTGCAAGAGCATCCAAGTGGCCGTCTTTGCCTCACTGGCCTTGCTTCCAGTTAGCTTGTGCCACAGCAGGCCTGGCACTCCATCCCCAGCCCCACTTCCAGGCAAGGAGTGCTTTTCCCTCCTATATTATTTGAAGTTTTTCTTTATCAGAAAAAAGAATGATTTAAAAAGTCTGTTAGCATAGAAGCCATAAATAAAAAAGCTAGCTACATAAAAATGAAGGACTTCAGACTGTGAAAAATACCACAAATAAAAGACAAAAATCAAAAACTGGGAAAATATGTGTGATACTGTGACAGAAGAATTTCCGTAACAAAAAGCTGGTATAATGTTTTTTGAACATTCACAACAGTGTGAAAAGTTAGTTCACAGAAAAGAAATACAGGCACAAGGTATGCTCAGCTTTACTTTTAAAGAAACGTAAATCAGAACAGTGAGGTGCTCCTTTTCACCTCAGACTAGGTAAATTGTAAAGTGTTGGTAATGCCCATTATAGCTGAGATTTAGGAAACAGGTATTTGCATACATAATTGATAGGAGAGTAAATTGGTACAATGCTTCGGGAAGGCAGTTTGACAAGAACTGGCAAATTAGATGCACATGCTCTTTCATGTTGTACCTCCATGTAGGCATCTACTTCCAGAAGTACACTAAGATGTACAAAGTTATTCACTCCAGCTATTTTTCAGGAGCATAAAGATGTAAGCAACATGATGTTCCTCATTAGAGTACTGGTAAAATGATGGCACATCCATACCATGAGTGAAAAAGTGTGCAGCTGTTTAAAAGAATGGGGTTGATAAGTATGTGCTGAAAAGGGAAACTCTCCAAGGTAGTAGGTAAAAAAGAAAGGTGCATACAGGTTTGTATATTATTCCATTTGTGTAAAAGGTGTTGGTATGATGTGCCTTTGGGGAGAAGGGTCAAGAGAATGGAGAACTTCACATTTTTGTTTTATACTTTTCCATACTGTTTGAATTCTTTTCTATGAATATTTTAATTTCATGTTTTTTAAATGTCTGTTAGAATTGGATTAGCCTCTAAAGGTGTGTTCCTTGTCCCGTAAACCATCCTAAAAAGAATTTAGAGTCATTTAGGTATATGTGCATAATTTATATTGTACATACAATGAATATTTCTGGAAGAGTGTGCAAACTGTTAACAGTGGTCATCTCTGGGGGGAGGGATTGGGGAGTTGAGTGATGTTTTGGTGACCAGCTCTCCCAGTTTGCTGGTGACTGAAGGGTTATTAGGACATGGGACTTTCACGTTGAACCTGGACAGCCCCAGGTAAACAGGGTCACCCTACTTTTGA